TCCACTTGCTGTTCCAGCTTTGTCTTTGCCTTGGTCAGAGTGTTGACTTTGTCTTCCTCTGCCTGGAGGTCATCCAGTGTTTGCTGATGGGCCTCTTGGAGGGCTTTCTTCTCCTTGGTCAGCTTGGCAATGGCCTCATCCTGAGTAGCCATCTCTTCTGTCAGGTTTTTCACCTAAAGTTTGTGGAAATATAGATTAACAGTTTTACATAGAGATAATGCTATAAAATGCCACATTAGTTTTTCAATGGTGTTTAACTGTGTGTAAGTGTCTATTTGATATGAACCTTGTTTTCAGTGGCATGTTTCTCCTTCTCCACTTTAGCCAAGGTGAGCTCTAGGTCATCAATGTCCTTCTTCAGCTCAGAGCATTCATCCTCCAGCTTCCTCTTCTTGGCAGTCAGCTCAGCATTGATTTCCTCTTCATCCTCCAGTCTCTCAGTTGTCTCTTTGAGTTTGGCCTCAAGCTGGATCTTGCTCTTAATCAGCCCTTCACACCTTTCCTCAGCATCTCCAAGGCTCTCAACCTCCTATGATTTGCAATGATTGGAAAATATGTTGACAATGTTCCCTTAAGAACCTGATTTATTTGATACATGATTTGGCTACTTACTGCAGCAACTTGGAGCTGCAAGTCATTCTTCTCCTGGAGCAAGGACACCATTTTCTCCTCTAGTTCCTTCTTCTTGGCCAAAGCAGTAGCCAGGTCTGTTTTCATCTTGTCATAATTTTCCTTCATCTGCATCAACTCCTTCTCAGTCTCAGCGCTCTTCAGCAGAGGCTTGATCTTGAAGTACAGGTTCATCCATGGCCAGTTCTTCACATTCATGAATGATCGGATGTTGTACTGGATGGAGTAGATAGCCTCTCTGATTGAGAAAAATGAGTTTGTCAAAGAAAAAATAACACTTTTACTACTGAACATGATTTCTGTACAAAGGTATGCAACTCTGCAAATGCATAGGAGACAGATGGGTATAAGATATTCCCACTAGTATTTTGCATGTAACAACAATCCCACCTCCTCTCCATCATCTTAACAAACTCCTTTCTCATGAGATATCCTCTGCAGAGTGCCTGAGTCATGGTAACCAGCTCAGCCAGTTTCTCATCTCTCATCTCCTCAAGAGTACCCAGAAGCCCAGCTTTGAAGAACACCTTTGTTGAAAGCAGACAGCTAACATGTTAGAAACTGTAAATACAGTGATAATTTTCTTATACAATATTTAGGTCTTAATAATCTTTCCAAATACCTTAGTGTGTCCAAACTTGTACTGGGTGTGGTCCACATCAATTGAGCCCAGAAGCTTCTCTGAGGCTTTCTTGTTGTCAATAAACTGTCCCTCAGGGATGACGCTGGCATTCAATACTTTGTATCTGTGTGAGAAAATTTTAATGCTCTTTTTTTCCCATTTTGATATCAAATGTATTAGTTTATAATCAAAAAGACTACAGTGGCCACCTCTGCTTGAAGTCACCATAGAGGATTCTGCTGGGGAAGCCCTTTCTGCAGATTCTGATACCCTCCAGCACACCGTTACACCTCAGCTGGTGGATGACCAAGAAGTTCTCCATAAGACCTGAAGTTTGGACATATATTTAGTTAAAAAAAATTCCACATTGTCATCAGACATGGTATCACTGTCAGGGGGGACTTCTGACCTGGGGTCTTTGTTTCGTTGGGAATCAGGCAACGCACAAAGTGAGGATGAGTGCTCCTCAAGTTGGTCATCAACTTGCCCAAATTCTCCTGTAGATCAGCAACATAAAATTAATCTCCAGTTTAACTGTAACATTTTGTTTTCAATATTCTCTATGAGAGTTTACATACCCTGAAAAGAGCAGAAACAGTCTGGAAGGAACCGCCCTTCTTCTTGCCACCCTTCTTTCCACCAGCAGCAGCAGCCTCAGCTAAAATTGACAATGTAAACAATGGTATCAAATCATTACTTCTTGTAAGATCTCTTTAATTAATAGACCATGTTCATTAGACACTGAAAAAAAAAACATTTATCCCCACATATTTATGTGGGTTGTTGCGCACTAGATGTATTAGTCTACTCAGTTTCGTGATATCTGTTTATTTTACTGGCTCTTACCCTCAGCTGAAGCATGGGCTGCATAGAGAAGACAAAGCAGCTTGTTTGCAGACTTCTGGTAGAGCTGAACCACTGAATCGTTCAGTGGGTCCTTGTTCTTGTCCAGCCAGCCAGTGATGTTGTAGTCCACTGTACCAGCATAGTGAACCAGGGAGAAGTGAGCCTCAGCTTTGCCCTTTCCAGGCTTTGGCTTTTCAAAGGCTTTGCTCTTGCCAAGATGCTGATCAATCAGCTTGTTCTTGAAAGTTGTATCAGAGGCTTTGGGGAACATGCATTCCTCCTCAAGGATGGAGAAGATGCCCATTGGCTAAGAACAGTTGACAGTTCAAGTTAGAATCTGAATGTAAAATGAAAATTCAATCACACTCATTTTAAGGTTTGTAGCTGATTACTAAAAAGGTAAATAATCAATGAAGCTCCACACCTTCTCAATAAGCTCAATGCAGGCAGCCAAGTCCATGCCAAAGTCAATGAACTCCCACTCAATGCCTTCCTTCTTGTACTCCTCTTGCTCCAGGACAAACATGTGGTGGTTGAAGAACTGCTGCAGTTTCTCATTGGTGAAGTTGATGCAGAGCTGTTCCAAGCTGTTGTACTGTAATTATAGAAATATATTTAATATATATATATATATATATATATATGTTATATATACATTTTAAACTTAACTGCAAATGCAACAGTTTTTTATAAGACTTTCCCAGGAGATTTTTTTTTTTTTTTTTTTTAGCTTACATCAAAGATCTCAAATCCAGCAATGTCCAAGACTCCAATGAAGAAGGTTCTTGGCTGCTTTGTGTCCAGCATCTCATTGATACGGATGACCATCCACAAGAACATTTTCTCATAGACAGACTTGCACAGAGCGCTGACAGCATTGTTGACCTAGAAGGAGACATGGTAGTAAGTCTTGTGTTCTAAATTTAACCTTTTTTAAATAGTTGGACAATGAAACCATATCCTTCCAGATTGGTTTACATTACCTGTGGGACGGTCTGACCTTTGGTGACCATCTCATTTCCGACCTTGACTCTTGGGTAGCACAAAGCCTTCAGCATATCAGCTGAGTTCAGACCCAAGAGGTAGGCGATTTTATCAGCCACTTTGGGGAAAGATATATAGCACATGGTTAAATTAATAAATTCAAAACAAATATAACCTTCAACAGCCAAAGTATAGGATGAAATTGATAATGTTCTATAAATTACCCTCAGTGCCATCAGGTTCAGCCTGCTCCTCTCTCTGCTTCTGCTTGAACTTCATGTTGCCGTGATGCATCACAGCTCCAGTGAGCTTGTAGATGTTAAACTTCTCATCAGCAGTAAAGCCCAAGATGTCAATTGCAGTCTACAATAGATTTAAAGCATGTTGTTTAACTCAAAAAAACATCCATCAAAAATCTGGATCTTTATTGGTTAGACCTGTCAACTTACATCTGTTGCAATGAACTCCTCCACGTCATTTATGCTTTTGACTGTAACCTCACCTTGACTGATCATATGATAGTCATAGGGATTTGTGGTGATCAGTAAAGCCTCTGAAAAGTATTTGAGAAAATAGCCACAACATGAATGGTGTGTTTTACATCCAAACACTTTGAACAAGTGATGTATTGTCATACCTAGCAGCTCAGGCTTGTGGCCTGTCATCAGCTGATAGAAGATATGGTAGCTCCTCTCAGCAGACAGCTGGAAGGTGACACGGGACTTCTCAAGCAGATCTAAATAATACAGATCAGTGTGAGAATATGATATACTCTGCAATATTTTTTATCACGCATGAGGAAAACCTGTCTATAAATATTTTCAGAGCAGCATTCAAATCCGAATCTATTCACATAAGACAGAATATCGGGTTAAAAAATTACTTACATGTTTCAATATCTGCAGAGGCCAATTTGCCACTGGTCCCAAAATGGATTCTGATGAATTTACCCTATAAAGCATCACATACTGCTTATTAGAATTTCTTATTTTTAACTCAGAATCATTGATTTTATATATATGTATATTTTTTGGACTCCTTATACTTACAAAACGAGAGGAGTTGTCATTCCTAACAGTTTTGGCATTACCATAGGCTTCTAGCAGAGGGTTTGCTGCAATGATTTGATCCTCCAGTGAACCCTGCACAGTTTACATAAACATTTTAATTTGTAGAAAATACTAAATAAACAGGTAAATCTCTGGCCTATTGACTGTTAAAAGAAAGGTTACCTGTATTTTTCCAGCCGTTGCTTCTGCCTTCTTTCCTCCAGTCACTGCAATTGTTGCAAAGTACTGGATGACACGCTTGGTGTTCACAGTCTTTCCAGCACCGGATTCTCCACTGGGGAAAGAGGATACATTAATTTTTTCATATTTTGCTTGTTGATATAGCTCTACAAATGAAGAGAGACATAATTTTTTTCATTACTCACGTGATAAGGATGGACTGGTTCTCACGATCTGAAAGAAAAATTCTTGAATATATACCTTATGCAAATAAATTGACTGACATCTATGACTATTTACTATCTTACCTGTGAGCATGAACTGATAGGCATTGTCAGAGACAGAGAAGATGTGAGGTGGAGCCTCAATCCTCTTCTTGCCTCTGTATCCTGATACAACAACAGCATCATACACAGGGAGCCACTTGTAGGGATTCACCACCACGCAGAACAACCCAGAGTATGTCTGAAAAACAGGGATGTTCCTTCTTGATACAATAGCTAACATTTAGGTTTGTCTTTTTTATGTTTTTTGATAAACTATTCATTTTAAATTCTCACATAGATCATCCAAGATGCAAAACGATCTTTGAGGTTATACAGCACACAGGGCTCATTGAGGTGGGTCATCATGGCCATGTCCTCAATTTTGTCAAACTTTGGGGGGTTCCTGGGATGAATGTCATCCTCTTTGACTGTTACAGTCTAAAAGGAAAATTAGTTTTCCCAAATGAGTTTAACCTATAATATACAGAAGAATAAACAATTGACAAAAAAAATTGCAAAGTTGCACAAAGCTTGACCTACCTTTCCTCCCTCTGTCTCAACTGTGGCTTTGCCACCCTCCTTCTTTACAAGCTTACACTTCAAATACATTTCATCAGTATCAACCACAAAGAAAGCTGTTTTTGCATCAAAGGGAGTATTCTGAGCCTCAATCCTCTCTCTTTCTGGCTTGCGGAGGTATATGGCCGCAGGGCCATACTGCTCCATTTCAGCATCTGTGCTCATTTTGGCACGTTGTTAGTCCTGCAACAAAAACAACTTTTAAATCAGCTTAATGTTGTTTATAGTTATTGAATTCTTCTAATATTTCAGACAAATTGCTCAAATATATGTTAAAAAAATCTTAATATTTAAAATATTATTTCAAAGTATTTATCATATTTTCATTCTTTCTCCTACCTCCGACCCGACTGAGTTAACCAGATATGGTGATCTATGAAGATACTATCAAAGAAAAATGTATATAGTTAATCTGATATACAACCAAACACCCAACTTCATCACATTCTTACAATATAAACTATCAAAGAATTAACCTATTTTTAAATCCATTGCATCACACATCATTTGTTGTTTTAAATCTTGTTACAAATAAACCCAATGATGATCTTTTAAAAATCTTTCCTCAATTAACTCAAATATTTTGTGTTTAAATCTTTGTAATGAACATATCCTAGTCTAATTACATCGTTGTTCATTTAAAATAAGTTAAATCAATTCATCCATTCTGTTACTTTTGTCATTGAATGATAAAGGTAACAGAAAGAGACAGTCAGAATTGATAACTTATAGCTTTACAACTATATGTTAAAGTGAACAATAAAGGACTGACCTGTGAGGGATGCCTATCAGTTCTCAGCGGAGTCTGGGGCTGCTGCTTTTATACAGGCTTAAATGCTTGGTCAGCACCAGTCTGCCTCTCAATTTGGTCAAGCATCCTTGTCATCTTAAGACCCATCGTGTGACATTTCAGGGTCAGTCTGCTATTTTTTGATTTCACATTTACAAGACTTTAAACTAAAGGATTTTTAAATAAGAAAACTGAATAACTTTTTTGGTTTGGTAAAATAATTAAGATGATGTGCAAAAAAGAACAGATGAAATCCATAAATTGAAAAAAAAAATTATATATAACAGTCAGAATGTGAACATTGTACATTCAAAACATTGTTCTCTGAATTGTATGATGTACAGGGCAGATTAAAGTAATGAACAAAAAAAAGAAGAATTTGCTCTTTTAAAGTGACAGGATTGTGACCTTCCTTTTTGAACCCATACATTTTTTGTTCTTAGTTAATCTCAGTAAATGTCATGTGTCTCAAGTTTCCAGGCTTGCCCACATTTAAGATTTTTGAAATAAACATAGTCTATAAGATGTAGCTTTAGTTGAATAACTCAGCTTTATATCTCTAAATAATCACAAAGATTCTACTAACTTAAATATGACAAACTTTAGTTAACTGTAGTGCGAAGCCATGCCTTCTTATCCTTGCAAACAAACAAGCCTTTGGCCAAGAACAGAAATTCATTTGGGGAAGCTCCCAAGTGGTGCTGGTATACGGTTGCAGGACACTGGCACAGGTCATATTCCTCTAATAAAACTGAATGTTAACCCTCTTTCCATAAGTTCAAGCGGTGTTACACCTTGCCTTAAAAGGAGATAAGGAACATTTGCCAACCCAGGGGAGAAGAAGATCTATTATAAGTACCACTCGTATATCAAAGATCTTTATCCTCTTGCTACATTTGATTCTAATGTAGTTGCTGTTGTGGGGACAGTTGATGTCCTTGAAAACTATGTGACACCGATTTTAAATCTTGTCTAGCCGAAGCTTAGGAAATGTTAATGAAAACAACTGCCACAATGTACTCAACACAATGCATCCTTGATATTCAGTAGACCTTGGAGAGGTTTCTATTTTTAGGCCGTAAGAACAGAATCTGTTAGGTTTTATTTATCTCACTTAACAGTCAATTACACTTTTCATTCATCCGGTTTTAGACTGTAGTCTACTATAATTATTTTATATGAGAGAGCAACAAATTAGTTTTCTTTGTTTATTCTTGTTTGACAATTTTGATAAACTACTAACTTTAGAGATTTCCTTTAGATAGAAAAGTACAATTTTGCAACAACCACTCTGTTTCATATGATGACTTATCAGATTTATTTTTTTCCTACGGACATAAATATTACTGCCATAAAACAGTAATATTTATTTATTTAAGGTTTGTCTTTGTCTGAACAGGTACAGCTGTCTTTGATTGCATTGTTTCTGGAATATATAAAAAGGTTTGTGTGTTCAAAAATGTTAAGATCTATAAAAGATATTCTGACAAGTATAATACATCTAGTGCCCATTTCTCTTTCTTTTTTTACAGTGTCCTGTCTAGCAATGTGACAATAAGAATAATTGTCTTGATGCCAAAAAGAGCCCAACAGATTTTACTTTCACAAGTGGAGCAGTACCGCTATCGCTGGAGTGATCCCCTTGATTTAAGTGCCCCTTTTCTGTTAGAATAGCATCTCCCTCATGCTCCTAGAAGATAAATCATCCTAAATGAAGTAATCATGAAAAGATACAATCACATGTGTTAAATGTATTCTTGTGCAGGCAAGGAGCTTGAATAAGGTTACTCTGTTTTTTTTTCTTCTATTTAATTCAATTCAGTTCAGTTTATTTATATAATGTCAACTCACAACACATGTCATCTCAAGTCACTCTACAGTTCACCAGATTATACAGTCAAATTGATTCAAAGTTTTCTATATAAGACTCGATGCAGTCGTCACACTAAGCATGCTTGTAGCGACTTTGGAGAGGAAAAACTCCCTTTTCACAGGAAGAAACCTCCTGCAGAACCAGGCTCTGTGTGAGTGGCCATCTGCAGAGGCCGACTGGGGTTCAAGGAGACAGAAGCAGAGATACAAAAGGCAACTGTAAACGGTGGCCCCGTCCAAGAAACACACAGCCAGACAGAAGACCTCCGAGCCAGCTCCCATGTCCAGCCAGTCACAGTCAGAAAAGCAGGACTACACTGAAAAACTGGCAGATCTCCAACATCTATAAACAAAGGAGTTGATTTCAGTAGCACAGCTGATATTTCTCTCCAGGGTGGTGTCACAGCCAAACAGGAACAGATGAGGCGAAACTACTATGAGAAAAAGCAGAGAGACCTTAGAGATTGAACTAAGAGGAAAGAGGAAGAATGAAGCCGAATGGTCAAATAGGGGTCCCTATGTCCTCCAGGTGTATAAGCCTATAGCAACAAAACTATAGAGATAGTTCAGGATAACCTGAGCCACTCTAACTATAAGTGTTATCAAAAAGGAAAGTTTTAAGCCTACGCTTAAATGTAGACAGGGTGTCTACCTTATGGAGTAAAACTGGTAGTTGGTTCCACAGGAGAGGAGCCTTATAACTAAAAGATCTGCCTCCCATTCTACTTTTAGAAATTCTAGGAACCACTAGTAAACCTGCAGATTGAGAGCAAAGTGCTCTGTTAGGGACATAAGGAACAATCATATCTCTGTTATATGGAGCCTGGTAATTTAAGGCTTTATATGTGAGAAGGAGGATGTTAAATTCTATTCTGGATTTAACAGGAAACCAATCAAGAGAAGCCAGGATAGGAGAGATATGATCTCTCTCTTTAATTTCATCAGAACTCTGGCTGCAGAATTTTGGATTAGCTGAAGGCTTTTAACTAGAGATTGTGGACTTCCTGATAGTAAAGATTTACGATAGTCCAGTCTCAGCATTACCCCTGGACAGGAAATTTCTAATTTTTGCATTATTGCGCAGATGAAAGAAGGACATTCTAAAAACCTCTATGATATCGGATTTAAATGAAAGATCCTGATCAAAAATAACACCAAGATTTTTTACTTTATTATCTGAGATCAGTTTAATCCCATCTAAATGAAGTGAGTTGATTCAAACTAAATTGTAATTAACTAATATAAATGGTCAGAACAAGATGGCAAAGATACACCAGGCATGTAGAAATGTAAATGATCTTAATTTTTGTACTTACATTAGAAGGAAGGAGGTCCCAACTAAGCATGTGCACTACCAACGTAATTAAAAAAGCTGTTTCTTATCAGAGAAAAAAAGACTTTTTGCAAACATCCCCTCTTGTTTTTTTTTATTCCTAGTCTCCATTTCTGTTCTGCAAGTGGCAACAATCTCTTCTACTTTCCCTACGTCTAGACTCTAGAGGAAAGGGAAGGGTGGCAAGACAGAGTTTTCTTTTCTTTTTTTGTTTTTTATAAAAATAAAGCCCCATCTAGACTGTTTAAGCTTAATTTTTTCATTTTATTGAGTCAAATAGCTTGTTCTCTTTTATATTGTTATACTGAACTACAATTTATCACAATCCTGTATGAGAAAGTGTTTGATGAAACTTTATATTCTGTGTATTTATAAGGGTATATTAACAACTCCAAATATTACCAATAGAAAGAATATTGTACATGCTGTAAATTATGGTGGTGGCAACACTGTCCACTGAGTTTATTTTCCTCCATGACTTTGAAATCTCTCAAAGTGAATAAAGTGCTTTGTGCTGGAAAAAGGGATGTCTAGTCCTCAAGACCTACTGTAGATGCCCAATAAATAAATAAAGCTAATTAAGGTAGTTAAAGTTAGCCCAGAAAGAAAATTGTTCATGAAAAATAGATTTTAAAATGTTGGTTTCGCAGGAAATCCAAAATAAAATATGGGTTTATGAAAAAATGTAATACTTCAGCTGTCTGGAAACTAACTCAATGGATTTGGAAAAACATAATCACATTTATCAGAAAAAAAACAGAAAAAGTCCAGAAGAATGTAGTTTAAATGTTTGCAAAAAAGACAAACATTTAAACGACACAGTCACAGAGGAAATAGATGTGTGATTGTGTGTCCATTATCTTGCAACTTCCTTTCCTCATTTTCCCTCAACACCAGCTGATGGCAGTAATGAGCAATGTTACCGGGTTGAGATAAAAAATACCTTTTAATGTCAACTGTATGAATTTAAAGATAGAGGAGTATATAAGGCGGCCCTGAAATTAATAAAAAAAAAAAAACTTTTTTTTTTTTTAAATTACATTACAAAACATTTTATTTCAATGATTTTTAGTCGCGTATTTAGTTTGAGGAGAGCTGTCTATTAAGAGGCCTTCCCGGTCCTGGAAGTTACCGGTAGAGGGCGATATTAAAACTTCACAAAAAGAAGAGTAAGAACGAGCATTTCGACATCGCCCATACGAATGAAAAACTACATATTTTCAACAGGTTTGTAGTTCTTTTGAATGCGCTTGCGCATTGGGTATCGTCCCCGCCGGAAGTCACTACGGGAGACTACACGCATTGAGTTTGCAAGCTAGGTTAGCTATTCGAACGTTAGCATTACGTCTAACTGAATAAGTTATTTTCTCTCTGAAGAAATGCCTTCCTTAAATGGAAAAGCTGACGTTATATTTGTAAGTAACATAAAAAATAATATTTTATATTATAGTTTAACGACTTATACCATTAGTTTTAGCCGGTTAGCGCTAATCTAGCCTCGCTTGGTGAAAATAATTTAGAGTCTGTTGACTCGTTCGTCTTCCTAAATATTAATGCTTCTTTATTAAGACATAAGCGGTCTAAAAATGTAAAACCAAGTTAATTATTGCAACATTCTCTTATCTTCCTTAATTGTAGTGATAACAAACGTCACTAGTTCGTTTATGCTTGCTTATAGCGTAATCTGTTTTATTGTTACTTTTACGCTGCAATACTAGGAGGATGATGATCTTCCATATGAAGAGGAGATTATCAGGAATCCATACTCTGTCAAATGTTGGATGCGCTACATTGAATTCAAACAGAATGGACCCAAATCCACCCTGAACATGATATATGAGCGGGCTCTGAAAGAATTGCCTGGAAGGTAACTGCAAGACTGTGGTTAGGTCTATTGTGTATTATTGAGATATAAATATATTTACAGTCTTTGAATTTGAGAAAGGTGACTTTCTCTTTCTTTTTTAACATTTTCCTTCATTTTTACAGTTATAAATTGTGGTACAACTATCTGAGAGAAAGGAGGAAACAAGTCAAAGGGAAATGCATCACAGATCCAGTTTATGAGGAGATTAATAACTGTCACGAAAGAGCACTCGTGTTTATGCACAAGGTAATGTTGACTTAAAATGAAGCATTCCTGCATTAAATAAAAATAATAAATATTGTACCAATAGTGAGTTTGGGTATTGCTTTTTGGAACTAACCAAGGTTTCTTTTAATGAATTAGATGCCCAGGATTTGGATTGACTACTGTCAGTTTGTTGTGTCGCAATGTAAGATCACAAGAAGTCGGAGGACATTTGACCGGGCTCTGAGAGCTTTACCTGTAACCCAGCATCCACGAATCTGGCCTTTGTATCTACGCTTTGCTCGTAACCTTCCCCTGCCTGAGACAGCCCTGAGGGTGTATCGAAGGTATCTCAAGGTGAGATTTTAGTGTTCAATCCATTTCCATACATCACCTGTCATTTAAGATCCAATTATCGACTTCAGTTATTTCTCTGTGTGGCCTAAGGTTTTATATTTGTTTTGGAGAGATTTGTGGAGATATATATTTGTATAGTGAAAGGCTTTTGAATTATTATTTTTTATGTCAAAAGTAACTGCATAGCTACTTTGATGCAACTGATGATTATTTTGCTAGTCGATTAATCTCTTTTTTTTTTGGGATTAATAATCAGATAGCTGGCCTAGTCAATAGATGCTGGCCTAGTGGTTAGAGCAGTGTGCTTGTGCTCTGAGAAGGTTGATCCCCACAGCCAGCACTCTGGGTCCCCGAGCAAGGCCCTTAACCCCTGATCTCTCCCTAGTCAATAGATGCTGGCCTAGTGGTTAGAGCAGTGTGCTTGTGCTCTGAGAAGGTTGATCCCCACAGCCAGCACTCTGGGTCCCCGAGCAAGGCCCTTAACCCCTGATCTCTCCCTAGTCAATAGATGCTGGCCTAGTGGTTAGAGCAGTGTGCTTGTGCTCTGAGAAGGTTGATCCCCACAGCCAGCACTCTGGGTCCCCGAGCAAGGCCCTTAACCCCTGATCTCTCCCCGGGCGCCACACAATGGCAGCCCACTGCTCCCCAAGGGGATGGGTCAAATGCAGAGAACGAATATCCCCAAAGTGGGACAATAAAGGAATTTACACAGAGAGCAAAAGGTTCCTTAAAGAAAACACTTTACGAAATTATACCAGGTGAAAGTAAAACTTTTCCACTTGAGAAGTTCTGGATAGAGCATTTTTTATTGTTTTTTATTTATTTTTTTACAATTTTGGTATTTCTGTTCAAGATGGGTTGCTTTGTCAGCTAAAGACAAATTTTAGAGTTTCTACACTCCACTTAACAATCAATCGATTACTAAATTAGTTTATGATTTTTTAAAATAATAGATTAATCTGATTAATTGTTTCAGCCTTACTTTGATGTTAAAGTTGTATATAGAAACAGTATTTTTGGTAGATAAAAAGCTCTAGAGATTTAAGTGCAATATCCCTCTACATAATTCAAAGTCCACTGTTGTCTCTTTATCCATTGTAGCTATCTCCAGAGAATGCAGAAGAGTACATAGACTACTTGCGGTCTGTTGGTCGTTTGGACGAAGCAGCTATGCGATTAGCAGCAATTGTAAATGATGAAAGCTTTGTGTCCAAAGAGGGCAAATCTAACTATCAGGTAAGATGTCGATTTCATTTGAAGCATCTCCACTTTTGTTTGTAATTAGCTGACCATAATACCATATGATACGTATTTTCATTTTCTTTTTTCAGCTGTGGCACGAACTATGTGATCTGATCTCTCAGAACCCCGATAAAGTGACATCTTTGAATGTCGGGGCCATCATACGAGGAGGCCTCACACGCTTTACAGACCAACTTGGAAAACTTTGGTGTTCTTTGGCTGACTATTACATCAGGAGTGGCCACTTTGAAAAAGTGGGTTTTTGCTTAATAGCTTTTATTTTTATGCATAGTCAGTTTTTAATTAATCTGTTTCTTTTCCTTCCATTCTTTCCTGTATTTGATTTAATGAGGTTGTTTAAAAGGCATTGCCTGATGTCTCAATTTATTTGTTTCTTTAGGCAAGGGACGTTTATGAGGAAGCCATCCTTACAGTGGTAACAGTGAGGGATTTCACACAAGTATTTGATAGCTATGCTCAGTTTGAAGAGAGCATGATTGCGGCAAAGATGGAGACCACTGCTGAGATGGGAAAAGAGGAAGAAGGTTTGTTTACATTAACACCGATAACACATCTTTCTTTACAGTTTTAGTCATAAATGGCTTAATTCTTTCCCTTCTTCTGCCAGATGACATAGATCTGGAGCTTCGCCTGGCTCGCTTTGAGCAGCTGATTGCACGGCGGCCACTTCTACTTAACAGTGTACTACTGAGGCAGAACCCCCATAATGTTCATGAGTGGCACAAACGGGTAAAACTCTATGAAGGAAATCCGCGACAGGTAGGTTTAAGAGCTTATCCGTATTTTAAAGGGGCATAGTCATGTTATATGCGATAAATCAGACCAAAAACCATTTGAACAAGATACAATAAAGTAATACAATACAATTTTACCGATTGCAATTATGTGAAATATTTTACCTCTAGTTATGCTGTGTGGTGGTGATAAACATCCCACTAGCAGGAGTCCTTGTGCATCCAGACTGAGCTACTGGTGTATAAATTTAAAAAGACAAATAACAACACCATGCCCTTTCAACAAAAACATTCATTTAGCATTATGTGTGACTCATGCAGTACTCATAAAACAATTTTTTCACTCCAGATCATCAACACGTACACTGAAGCAGTTCAGACTGTGGATCCAATGAAGGCCACAGGCAAGCCTCATTCTCTCTGGGTTTCTTTTGCCAAATTCTATGAGGAGAATGAACAGCTGGATGATGTAAGCTAATGTCTTTCCTTAGGGCTTGCATGGACACTATAGATTATTTTTTTCTTCTCATTTATATTTCTCTTATTTCTACCTTAGGCCAGGACAATCTTTGAGAAGGCAACTAAAGTGAACTACAAACAGGTGGATGACCTTGCTGCAGTTTGGTGTGAATTTGGAGAGATGGAGCTTCGCCATGAGAATTATGATCAGGCACTGCGAATATTGAGGGTAACCAGCTGCTATTTGATGTTTTGGTTCTACAAATGCTGTGTGTAGCATGATTACAGATGTTGTAAAATTGTGTGTTTATATATATGTATATTAGGGCTGCAACTAACGATTACTTTTGCAAGTCGATTGATTTTTTTTTAGATTAATCGATTAATAATTGGATAGCTAAAGGGTTTCATAAAGAAGATGAAACTAAAACTTTTCCTCTTGAGGAATTCTGGATTTTTTATTGTAAATGCAAAATGTTTCCATTTTTTTTGTTACAAATTTCCAATAATTTCTGATCTAAGTGGGTTGCTCTGTCAGCTAAAGACATATTTTACAGTCTAAACTCCGGTTAACAATTGAAATAACGGGCAGTTTCAGTAATCGATTAATCCGATTAGTTGTTTCAGCCCTTATATAAACAATCCTTATATATTTATTCTATTATGTGACCTGTTCTGCTCCTGTTAGAAAATATATTCAAACTCATAAAAGGGAAGCAATACAGCATTTGAGAAGCTCATTGATGCTCTATTAAATGGATGCCTAGTGACATCTATTGGAAAAGTCGGGAACTGCAAAAATATAAATAAATTTCTTTGCAAATGTTCTTTTTAAAGAATATCTTTGCATTAAGCATCAGAGTATACAGAAACTTAGGAAAAATGTCCAAAGTATGTAATTTAATATTTTTTTATTTAAATAGCAGACGTACTACTGCTAAAATACTAACTTGCTATTTTTGCATTTTGAATTAGAAAGCTACAGCAATCCCATCAAAGAAAGCAGAGTACTTTGATTCGTCTGAGCCGGTCCAAAACAGAGTCTACAAGTCCCTGAAGGTGTGGTCGATGCTGGCAGACCTTGAGGAGAGTCTTGGTACTTTCCAGGTATTTATAGAAATATGTTTATAAAAACATAACTCAAAGTCAGATCCACATTGTTTGCTACAGATATGTTAACCTCTTTTTTTATTTTTTTATTCTGCTTTTAATCATCAGTCTACAAAAGCGGTGTATGACCGGATTATAGATCTACGCATTGCCACTCCTCAAATTGTCATCAATTATGCCATGTTCCTAGAAGAACACAACTACTTTGAGGAAAGCTTTAAAGTAAATACATTTGACCACACTATTGTATAAATGTATATCAATAAGCATTTTTGTATTATTGATTTAAACACTTTTTTGTTGTTACTTTCCTTTTAAAAGGCATATGAGCGAGGGATTGCCCTCTTCAAGTGGCCAAACGTTTATGACATCTGGAACACTTACCTCACCAAGTTCATTGATCGTTATGGTGGCAAAAAACTGGAGCGAGCCAGAGATTTATTTGAGCAAGCTTTGGATGGCTGCCCTGCAAAGTTTGCAAAGAGTAAATACTTTTTGTAGCATGCACAAAAGATGTTTCTTTGACTAAATGTAAAATACTAACATTTTTTTCTTTTTTTAGCTATTTATCTGCTGTATGCCAAACTGGAAGAGGAATATGGACTGGCGCGACATGCCATGGCGGTCTATGAAAGAGCAACACAGGCAGTGGAAACTGATGAGAGACACCATATGTTTAATATCTACATCAAGAGAGCGGCGGAAATTTATGGAGTGACTTACACCAGAGCTATCTACCAGAAGGCTATTGAGGTGGAGCACATTTTGATTGATATAAAACAATTCATTCTTTTCTTGTTCTTCATCAAAGTGGCAGGTTTACAAAGAAAGTTGTATGTGCAATGACATAAAAATGATTTAATAGTCTAATAATAAATTATACTAAGCAATTTTAAGAATATTTAAACTAACATCACAGTAGGTGCACTTACTTTAGTTTAATCCTATTTATTTTAGTTACATCCATGTTGATCATCTGAGTTTTGAATTTTTTAAACTGATACTTTCCCAATCTCGTATTCATTATGTAGTTTTTGTATTTATTGATACACAACTACTGTGCTGAGTTTGTCTAGAGTGATAAAATGAATTTAAAGCAGTAACATTTTATTTAATTTACATATACTTTTTTTAACTTACCAGTAAGCTGATGACACCCTTTTCTGCTTTCTCAGGTTCTTCCTGATGAGCATGCCAGGGACATGTGTATGAGATTTGCGGACATGGAGTGTAAACTAGGTGAGATTGACCGTGCCAGAGCGATCTACTCTTACTGCTCTCAGATCTGCGACCCAAGGGTGAGAGACGCCAACTTTTTAAATATTTTTCTTGCAAAGTATTAGAATATTCCTAATCTAATGCTTGATTGATTGATTACCTTTTAGGTGACAGCGAATTTCTGGCAGACCTGGAAGGAATTTGAGATCCGACATGGAAATGAGGATACAATTAGGGAGATGTTAAGAATTAAACGCAGTGTCCAGGCTACATACAACACTCAGGTCAACTTTATGTCCTCTCAAATGTTGAAGGCTTCAACAAGTTCCACAGGCACTGGTAAGGAATAGCACATTTGATTGTTTGTTTTTGACTTGTGTGTTCCCTTGGTTTCTACTGTTAGTCTCTGTAGATGGGTAGCTCATGGAGGTGTGTAATGCTTTTATTGTTGTTGAAATACTGCAGTCTTTCTGCTTCAAATATGGTCTGTCCTAATTGAAATGTATCAGCTTCATAGATTTTTTTCACACATTTATTTGTGTATATCTTTTTATTAGTTATATTTTTTTAGTTATATCTTGTAAAAATGTTGGCAGTGGCAACTGTGGCTCAGTGGAAAATAGTCAGGTTTGGGGTCTCATGTCTATGTGCTCCTTCAGAATTAATCCACCTCCAAGTTGCCTACAGATGTGCGTATTAAGGTGTAAATGTATAAATGTGTGAGAGAGCACTTGGGTCAATGCGGCTCTAGTGCAGAAGTGCCTCGAGTGGACAGTATTCACTGTGTCCATCTGGGACAATCCATTGTCAGTCTGTAGACTGCTGACTAAATGGAGGTGTCAAAGTAAAGCACCTTCACTAGCCCGATCCTTCCCGGAAGCGCGATCCATACCATGAACTCATTTTCCCATGCACAACAAGATATACATCCGGGCCGACCGAGAATTTAATTTGTTAAAAAAAAGACCTAAATTACGTTTTTACCTCCCCAAAAACAGTAATCGTACTTAACTATAATATGTTAAAGGTTAAAGCTGAAGTCTGTAAGTTTTTAAAAATCACCTTTTTGTCATATTGGCTAAAACTGTCCCTATGCCCAGACAGCAGTACATGTGATATGTAACCTGTGAAAAAAAACTGCTTCAATTTGTCCCGCATACTGCCTGTATTTCAATCTGGAAAGAATAATTCGGGATGAGTCAAAACAACCAATCACAGCCAGAGGAGCGTCTGATGGAGTGTCAATCACAGCCCCCCCCCTCACCGTTTAACCTGCCGCTGCCGCAGTCAGGAGGATGCGCGTGGAAGTCATGGCGGAGCGACAGCCACCAGCGAAAGAGAAACTGCCCTTACTGCCCCTGCCGACAACTGCTTACACGGCAAACTTCGGTATAACCGGCATCTTATATCTAGCTGCTTGGAGGTGAGTGTTATCGCTCTTACCAGTTCACACTCCATGCCGCGTAGGCTGCTTGGACGCTTCTGTAGCTGCGCAGGTGCTGTGAGAGGGGTGGAGCTTGGAGGTGGGGCATGAGTGAAGCAGAGAGGGTGGGGGAGTGGCGTGAAACCTGTTTTTTTCTTCAAATTTTCAGTCGAAGTCTGCTCTCTTCTCAATGTTACAGACTGCAGCTTTAATAATTTATATCCTGTGAAAATACAGGCCTTAAAATGCTTTCTCTTTTATCACTTGTCTGTGCCCGATCTAAACTGGAAATGGAATCCTATGCTACTTCCGGGAGCTAACTTTTTCGGGTTTGAATTTAGACATAAATCTACACTTTTTGAGTTTAATGTTTTCCTTTTGGATTAACATTATGGCATATAGTGCGTAACCAAAAGAAAGAAACAACTACAATGCAGATAAACCTGGTTTAATCATATTTTGCTGGACTACTCTGACCATGTCCGATGATGACCTAAGACAAGCATTTTAACAGAAAAAAAACATCAAAATAGTCTCAGAAGTCATAAAACATTTTATAAAGCTGTGTATTAGCATTCTTTAGTGAGTTGAGGATAAAAAAAAAATTACTTTTAGTACAATAATAACAATTTTTTTGGAAACCTGGATGTATATCTGCTTCCACATGCGCAAATGAGCTTATGGTATGGATCATTTTTCCAGCACGGATCGGGTAGTAACAAGCAGCAACATAGAGGTGTTCCTCAAGGTTTAATCTTGACACATTTATTTATTTTCAATTAAAGCAGGATTAACACTTTGATTTCCCCCATACATTTGATATACACACACCTCAGGAGAAATTAAATAACTATAAAAAAAAGTACTTCTAGGAGTATTAAACCCCTTATTTATTTACACTTAAGCAAAACAATTTTCAAGTAATATTAATTTTGGAAGGAAAAAAATCTTAAACAGCTGATTTATCTTTTTTTGCATTTTGATTTTAAAAGACTCTGGTGCAGAAATGATTTAGCCCCTACACATATTTACAGGAATCCCCTTTATTGATAATATACCAATCAACTTATTGTTGTGATTATATTATTTGCTAATGATTAAATAATGTTTCTCCTTTATTTTGACTTTATATCTGTGGTGATGAGCTCTAAGTGGAAGGCTTTAATATCATTGCCTTAGTGTTTAGTTTCTTTAATGGATTTTCTATCAGATTCAAGTTTGGAATGTGGTCCGACAGGCAGCACATTGGAGCAGCAGATGGTTTTCCTTTCTTTGCCTCTTAAGTGCCATTGATGAACTGTGCAAACTACAAGGAAAATCTCAAATTTAGTGCCTACATTCTATGTCGTCCATATTAGGGAAATTAGAGGAAATGTTTTAATTGATACATTTGTGTGTTTCGTATTTCATATCAGTTTCAGATCTTGCTCCTGGTCAGATGGGAATTGATGATATGAAAATGTTGGAGCAAAAAGCTCAGCAACTTGCTGCAGAGGCTGAGCAGGACAAACCCAAACCAAAAGAGAAAATTCTTTTCGTCAGGTTTGTGGTTCCTATTCTTGCTGATGAATACTTAGAAATCTTGAACAGATTCTATTTATGACTTTCATGAAGCCTATTACTTTCAATAGATCATTGTTTTGCTTATCTGTTTGCTTAGGAGTGACACGTCACGAAGTGAGTTGGCTGAGCTTTCCAAACAAGCCAATCCTGATGAGATTAACATCGATGAGGATGATGATGAAGATGATGAAGACCAAGGACCGGACGGTTAGTGTGATATAGGTTATAATTAGGGAAAAACATTTGCATATATAGGCATTTCCAGGACAGTTTTGCATAATTTAATTGCAACTTGTTTTTTTTGCCTTTACAGAAGTGCAGCTTGAGCAGAAGAGTGTTCCAACCGCAGTTTTTGGAGGTCTTAAAGAGGACTGAAAAATAACTTGTTACATTTTGCAAAGATCCAGACTTCTGTAACACTTCAGTGGTGACATCTTTTTAATTAGGATAAATGTTTAGATGTGTCAACTGTTTTGTAGAGTGATACAGTCGGCCTTAAGAATTAGTATAAGTATTTTCCTATTACAGCTTAGTTTTTTTTTTTTGTTAAAGAGATGGATCTATTTTGATCACATGATGTCAGTAATTCACTCATTTAGGATACATTTTATTGACATAAAATACTCTTTTTTACGGTTGGATGTTTGCTTACACTTAAATATTATCCATGGAGTCTGTATTCTGTAAAAAAAGATTCTTGAAAATAAATATTCAAAACAAAATTTTGGCTTTTTATGACTGGAAGTAATGTCACAAAAGAGGGAAGGGGGATTGTTTCATCAGACAGAAACATTTCTGGGTGAATCATTAAAGGTTTTAATTAAAGGTATAGTGGAGGATTTTTTTCATTTTTTTTTTTTTAAAGACCTCTCCACTTTTAGAAGGAATGCACATGCACAACCCTGTACACGCTCCTGAGAAGGAACGCCTATTAAACGGGTGCGAGAGCATGCACAAACCCATTTCTCCCCATGCATGCTCTTTTTAAAAGTTGCTGTTTGCATCGCTCATACAAGCTTACTTTGCAAAAGAAAATTTGCAATTTTTCCGCTATGTCAGACTCATCGCCTGTATGTAAAAATGGGGATGAGCATGTAGAACGGCCGTGCGTAAACATATCACAAGAATACATATCACAAGAATGATTGACAGTTAGGACTGCTTATTTTAATGAGCCACCCAGAAAAAGAACATCTTTCACTATACCTGTATTGTCTAGAATGGTACAACTGGTAATTTAAAGCATTTCCAAAAAGTAAAAAACTTGATTAGTTTTACCTTCTCAAATGTGCAGCTTAAGCTGGAGTTTCTTTTGTGCATTAAATCATATGTACATGAATTGCATAAAATTTCAAACAGTAAGTATATTCAGGAATGGAGATACATTCTCTTGTGTCATATATTAAGTCATTTCTTTCATTTTCATGTAGATGTAGAGTAATAATGCTATAGAATGATCTTGTGAATATTTTGTAAGCAGAATTGCTTTATATATTGGTTGTAATATACATTGTCAGGCTAAAACTAACCAGCAAAAAGATAACTTATTTGAAATAATTGTTTCTTTAATTAATTAGTTCAAAGATGATCCCTTTTCAAAGTTACTGTGCTGCTCACCAAGGTTGTAGTTGATGCAGGAAATCACTTCTGTGGAAAACCGCTAGTCCTCACTTCAGAATCAAATTAATCAGAAGCAGAGAATAGGTTTGCCTGCATTGCCTGACATAGAAGTATATAAGGTTTCATTTTCATTTTATTTTTAAAGCACCGATTATCACTACCTGTCAATTGGAATCTATGTTTCAATTGACACAACGTACTAATTCTCAGTATACATATTTTGATAAAACCTTATGCAATTAGTTTTTATTCAAATTGGATAATTTTTTTTTTCTTTATAAAAAGGGCAACCTAGCAGACTGCAATGAATCATTATCTTGCAGAATTTTCTCCTGGGTATGTAGTGACAGAAAACAGTCCCTTGCATTGCATTATTGACTTACCAGCAATCCCTCACACTGACCATGCATGTAGTGACAGTTAAAAGAAAAACAGTTGTTTAGTCAGAAGAAACCAGGTTTTGTATGGACAGTGATTGAATGGGATTTGAGTAGATGAGGCATATATTTAAAAAGAAAAGCACATAACTGATCCAGGAGTACTTTTTTAGGTGAATGAAAAATAAACAAATAGGGCAGTGGGAGCTGCTTTAGAGAAGGGGCTTAATGTTGTAGATAAACAAGTTCTGAGCTGGTTTTCATGACTTCAGTAGTGCAATTTTCTCTTGTAAGGCTTAGATTACTCTGATATTCCATATGAATTGGATGCCTTTTAAATATATTGTCTAAAAGAAGGTAACAGCTGATGATATAACTTACTTTAGTTTTTATCTCTGTTACAATTTTAATACATTTTTAAGTATTGGTTAAAAATAAAATAAACTGCAGTATGCCTAGGTTTTGTTGAGTCAATTTGAACCTAAATCACTATATTTATTTTGCAGATCTAGAATAAGTCTATCATTGAGTAACACATTGCCAAAAAAAAAAAAAACTGATCACATTCATGGTGCAAGCAGCAACCATATTTAGTTTTGCCCAAGAAGGTTTTTGCAAGTTAATTACTAATAGCATGTTTTTTGCACTTTAATGTTACGATACATTTATATTCAGTTTTTATTAGTATTGTTGTAGACGGATAGCTCAAGTTGAGTTTAGAAATCGCTTTCAGTTTAAAGCAACTGAATGCTGTCCCCTCAGGGATTCATCCACATGCCAGATGCACCTGTAGCAAACCTGCTACCACACCTCTACCTGCTGTCTGCTCTCACACGCAGGCCCCGCCCTCATTGCGAATGCTCCATTTCTATTGGTCCGTGGTATCCGCGAGTGATGCCAGTATGGAGCACCTGGTAGTCACTCATCGACTGGAATAAAGTGGAGCTGTGTACAGTGGACTGACAAACACAGCAATGCGGACGAAGAGAGGCTGATACAAGGGGGGAATAGTCCGGCTTTCTGTAACATATCAACGTATCTAAGCTTTAATAGCTTGTAAAGTATAAAGAAGCGGATATTTCGTCCTCGAGAGGACGTTGAAGAGGACGTTAGCTCGCTTGGAAGCAAAACCTGGGCGGATATTTCCCGAGGAAAACCTGAAACCACATCCGTATTCCCAGCCCTGCGGTCGTGTGGAATACAACTCAACTAAAAGAATGGTTGCCTGAGTATTTTTATCCAGTCTCCTTCACCTTTCGCCAGCATCGCTTGGGATTTTTTGGGTTATTTTAACAGTGCCGCTATGGTGGACTCCCCCACTAAGAGGAAGACTTTTGTGGTCCCAGACATAAAGCCGCTGGATCTGTATGACTGCAGCAGATCCAAAATATGCGCAAGTGTAGGATGGCTGCTGGCGAAGTCCTACGGGAGCTCAGGTGGGTTTTTGTTCCAACCGTTAGGATTAAAACTGTGCTTTAATCGGAACCCTGGTTCTTTTGTCGTCTGGTAATGTGTTTACATTATATTACTGAAAACCTCACGCACGGAAAGCAGCTGCAGTGTTTGTATTGTTCGGAGATTTTAGCACAAAGAGGCGCATGAGAAAGGAGGACCCTAGCACTGTGTGCGTTTCTGGACAGTGACACATGTCATTTGTTCTGTCTCTATGGGTATGTATGTCAGAGAAACGGGCCTCCTCTTTTAGGCCTCCCTTATCAAGCTAACCCCTCTGTCCTAACACCAGCCTGAGGTCTGAAATGACAGGCTGCACATAAACCCTACACATTTATTTCCTAAAATAGTCTTATATATAGCTTTATTATTATTTAATCTGCGACAATAACGGTTAACAGCAGACAGACTTAACTGTAATTCTCCTGTAAATTTTACCAGTAGATAGAAATGGGATAAATACATTTAGTAATAATGTTCTTCTCTCCTCTATGGTACTTTGACACCTCCTTCCAGTTTGTTTAGTAACCTAAATTCCTGATTGACAATCTAACCACAGCAAAAAATTGTCCAGTTTAAAGTAGTTTATACAAAATAATTTTTTTTCCCTTATTTGGTTCACATTAACTTGGATTATATCAGTGTAAAAGTAGACAATTTATACGATCAGCTCTACTGACATGTTGAAATGTTGTACTGCTATGATGCAAACTAGTCTTCTGTGCCCTTTTTGTTCTAGTTGACTGAATTTTACAAGAGGAACTCTCACTAGTCAAGGTGATTTAATCACAAAATGCTTGTCCAGATAACAAATCTTGCTTATTCTGCCAATATTCTGTTTTTCTTCTTCAGCAATTGAACTTTTGTGTTACAAAATCCCTCACAGGTCATAGGTTTAGGACTCCAGGCTGTTGCCACCTTTGTGTACTCAGTTTAGCACCTCAGCCCCACCCTATGGTTAAAGTAATGCCAAGCCACAGGGATATGACAACAAACACTGATCAGGCTTAGTTTCTGTCTTAATCAACTCAATGGCCTTGCTGATAGAGTCATGCAAATGCAGGATGACATCATCAAGTCCTTTCCCAGGAATTCAGCTGGTAAGGACAGATAGCCCAGGAGGAGCCAGGCTAGGCCGCATTCACTTTTCAAGGGTAGTTGAATTAATCAAAACCTAAAACAATAGGTTAGGATTATCATGTAGTTTTTCATTGAGCAAAGTGTTCACAGCCCTAAAATAGGAAAGGTTATGCACGATATAATCAAATGTATGTCATCTATAAGCTCCCAAAAATCTCTTGTTTAGTCACAATAATCTGCTTAAGGGGCTAAATTAAAGTATTTATCATTGGCATGAAAAAAAAAGGATGAAGATTTATGAAATAGGACAGCAAGCAGCATTAATAATAATTTATGTCTATAGCATTGAAGGAAATCATTCTAAAGCTAAAATAATGAACTTAAGTTCCAATTGTTGCTTTAGCCCAACTTTATAAAGGGAGAAGCAGAGTTGTGGTTTGTCTCCATAGAAGATTGTAACGTATATCAATTATATTTAAAATGGTTAACAGGACACTGGATTCACCTTGGAAGTTGGAATGAAAAAAAAAAAAAAAAAAAAAAGTGAGTCATCTGAGGGTGACTCAAGCTACCGTATTCCATTAAGCAGAACGAAGCTCACGATATACCTGTTTAGGCTAGGAGGAGGCTTGTTTTTAAAAAGAATCCTTGGTTTTCAGTTTTGTGATCGTTTTTTTTTTTTTTTTTTTTTTTTTTTTTTTTTTTTTTTTTAAACAGTGTCTGTGTTATGTCTTTCCTTTACTGCTGTTAGATAAAACCAGGGTTTACTTAAAAGAGAAAACGGGACATAAGTTTGCTTGTAATCCTGCAAAGAAACAGCCTGTGTTGTTGTTATGGTCCAGGTGAAATACAGACTAATGCAGGTAGTTTGTTGTTGGTGTTCGGTCAGTGTACAAGGTGATATCTTTTAGGACAAATCCTTGGACACAGTTGCTAAACGGTAATTTATTTTTCCGTGGCTCCAGGTCGTTTTCGTCCTTTTCCAATTCATAAAGCCATTTTTTTCTGATGTAATCCCATTTTAAAACCATTATATCAACTATAGAAAGCAAATCCTTTTGTACTTAAACCCTTTTTAGACTCAAATTTTTCCTGTTAATCATTTTCTTAACTCCTAGACATATGTGTTCAAAATATTGCAAAGCCCTTATGTAA